TGTGTGTGTGTGTGTGTGTGTGTGTGTGGGGGGGGGGGTGTTGTGTGTGGGGGGAAGGGAACAAAATACCCTAAATCAAGCAGCTGCAACCATCTTAATAGAGTTCATGCTCACGTTGTCTCCCTATGACTGTCCTATTGGTATTTTTCCAGATAACCAAACTCTATTGCCATCACAGGAAAGATATAAGATAAAGGGAAGAGACTGATCCATAAAAGGACGAGCTCCACAGTATGAAACTCACTGGAGGACCACTATGTTAGGTAGGTCACCACGTCCATCCCCATGCCAGCTTCATCCATTCCCCATTGCATACTGAAGTGCTTTGTCTAGTCTAGTTTTGAATTACTTAAAAGTGATGGGATACCCACCGCTTCTGAGAGACTATCCAGAACCTCAGTAACAGGAAAGGTTTCCTGATAGTCAGCCTAGTTTTACACCCCTGCCTGTCTGAAAACTGGATTCATCTCCTCCTTGCTCTTTGTAAAAATATACCTCTACCCTCATATAACGCGACCCGATAGAACACAAATTCGGATAGAACACGGTGAAGCAGTGCTCCGTGGGGGGCGGGGCTGCGCACTCCGGCGGATCAAAGCAAGTTCGATATAACGCAGTCTCACCTATAACGCAGTAAGATTTTTTGGCTCCCGAGGACAGCGTTGTATCGGGGGAGAGGTGTAGTTGAACAGTAAACAGTTATGTACCCTTGCCAAATGGCAATAATTTTAACTAATCTTTGAGTTTTCTTCTCTGAATTCCTTCCAAATTAATGCCTGGTAGTTGAGGTAAATAATTCTTAGCTTTGGTCTCATCAGGGCTGGTACAGAGGGAACACCACGGGAATAGCCCATGAAGCAATACTTCTGCCCATGCAACCCAAAATTGTCTGTATTTTGGCTTCCTTACTGCATTGTAACCTGCTATCCAATTTACGGTTCACCGGCTCTCCTAGCTTTCTTTTGGCATCACTACTTTCCAATTATCTTCTTTCCAAAGAATCTCTGAGTTTCGGATTATTGCCCAGGTGCATTCTCTTGTATTACTCTTGACTGAATGACAATTCCCTCTGTCCCCTCCAATACTTTTATTACAGTTCTTCTTCCAGTGAATTTAGTGATTGAGTCCTGGAGACTGAAATCTGAGGTACCAAATAAGTACAGCAAAAATCAGTAGTGCAAACTTCTTCAAACCACTCTCTGCCAAACAAACCTCAACTCTGACCTGAAGGGACACCTTCTATCGGAAAAAGAGTCTAATTCACAGTTCCCATTTGGTTATTTCATGTCTACATTTTTAACCTCTCTAGGCCCCTGTGTATTATTTCTCCAACTCCATGATATTTTCCACTGTCTCCCAATTTTTTTGGTCCGGTTTATTGTACAGTCAAACTCGGCACTAATCTGCTTAAATCACTGATTCCTGTGCACACTAAAGCAGCACCACTGGTGCTTTTAAGGTTAATTTTGTGATAAGTAACAGAAACAAGAATTGCCCAGTCAGAATTTGCTGCTGCATGTGTCTGGAATCAAAGGCAAAGCTCCAAGTGGCAGGAGGTTGGGGAGGAGAGGGGGAAGCAGAGAGAGACACCTTGTATAATGAAATACTTTCATATTAAATTAACTGAAAAGTCATTAGAAATAAACAAGTTAAGTAATTCTGAATCACAAGTTTGAAAGGAGTCATGAGAGAGGGAGAGAGAAAGAAGATCTGCATGGCCCAAACAGATTAAACAAGATAATGATTTTAGCATAGCCTTCGCAGAAAACATTGCACTGAACTCGAGAAGTCTTCTGAAACAAAGGAAAGTGGAAGGAGTCATAACAGATATTTTACAAAGATAGTATGTTGTCCTTAACAGCAGTTTTAGAGCCAGAACAAAGCAAGAGACGGTTTCAAAGCACAGCAGTTCTCCCCGCTCAGTTGTTTGTTCGCAGACAAGCTGTTTCCTTTCATCTGGAAAAACTTACACAATAAGGAGAAAAATACCTCAGTAGACTCTGACTCTATAATAAACAGAAAGCCCAAGGGGCAGTCCGTGAGAGAGCTCTTTGGCCAGCAACTGATCAGTCGGTGCTTGGATGCTCAGAAAAAGCAGACACTCCTTCTGGGCTTAGGCTGATGTATACCCTACTGCTGACTGAAGAAGCTAATAAGTTCGTGCAGGTATTTCTCATTCCCCCTGAGAAAGTAGCAGCCCCTCTAGCTTAGTGTGGAAGCAACTGGAGGAAGTGTGAGCAGGGAGATAACATGCAGATGGAGACAGATGTGTGACTATACACAAAGCTTGGGTATATCCCTGTAACAATGTATTAAGGTGGGGGGAGGAGTTGGGGGAGGAAGAAGAAATCGGGGCCATAGGGCCAAGACCAAATACTTAATTTGGATCTCAGCATAGCCGCACTGTGGCTGAGAAGATTCCGTAAAAACGTCGCTCTGAAATATTGTTTTGATAAAAATGCCTCTCCTTGTGGAATTCAAATCTCCAACTGTTCCACTGGCACCAACATCTCTGCAGTAACAACACATGCCACAGATTGAGAGTTAACTCAAATTACATTTCAGAACTGGGGAGGGGAGGATGTCAGTGGGAGGTTTATGAACAGTATGCTCCAACTCTGATGTTGTTATAACCAGATGGCTTCAGCTGCATCATTTACAATTAAAAATAAAATAAAAATAAAGAGTGTGTGAAGTTGACGAATAAAGTGTTAATTCAACTGGAACCATCTGAACAGGTAGCCGCCTCCATGCATCCGAATACAGAGAACTTTCAGGACACTGAGTGTACCCTGGAGACCTATCTGGCCCTACAGGAAAGGCTGGGATAGACAAGTCCCAGAACTGATTACCTTCCTGCAGGTATATCTCCATCCCTCTGGGAAAGAGACTGCCAAATCTGAATGTGCTTTCCAGTAAGTACCTCCCCAAAGAAGGGGTGGGACAAGTGATGCCAAGACCCATTTACCTTCTTGTAGGCACGTCTGAATCCCCAGGAAAGGCAGAGCCAGAGAGACTCCCAGAACAGTTGGTCATGCGATCCCAACGGGTTGAAAGCTTTGTGGTTTTAACTTTTCAGTAAACAAAGCTTCCTTAGAATAATTAGACAGCTTTATGCCGCTCAATTAACTGGCAGCAAACTTTTAAAGTTAGAAAGTAGTTATAACTTGGGGATGCTAGTTTGCATCTCTTACAAGGCTGGAGCAGTGGGGAGAATGTGAACAGTTGACTACATGCTTCACTCTACCTAAAAGGAAGTGCAGATTAAATCCCACACACAGGTTTAGTCAGAGTTTAAGCAACAGATATATTATGGGAATTTATGAGCTAAGTGAAATATGGAAAAGGCAGTGTATATGCTGAGGACCTAGCAAACAGGGGAGGGTAGGAGAGAACACTTTCCTGCAAGTCACCATTTGATAAAAATATAGACAGCGTCAGATTAAAAAAAAAGGAAAAAAACCCATCCCACGAGCATTTGAGTGGAGGTTCTTTCTTTCACACAAGAGACAGAGGCTGTGAAAGGGAATCATCATAGAATCAGAAATTAGAAACAAAGTAATCTAATCCATTTCCCAGACAAAGCTAAATTGTTCTCTATAGTACATTTCATGCCCTGTCTGGACATCTTGAAGCCAGAACAGTTTCCCACCATCCTGAAGCAGTGTGCTTCAATTTAATCTCCCTGGATATCTGGGCCTAATGATGGCCCAAACAGATGGCCTCTCTCCCCCGCATTCAGCCTTTCATACTGCTGTTATAAATCAGTTGAACAACTGCGCTCCCTTCCCATTTATATCTAAATACAGACACAGGTAAGGCTAGGGATCAACTTCATTGAGTATTAAAACAAAACGTTCTCAGGTATTTTGGCAATATCTGCTAAGAGGAATAAAATGTAATTTGGCATTGCAGCTCTGTGCACAACCTCCCTTAATAAATCCCATTTGGATTCTGGGAATGGGCGTGTCAGTATATACCCCGACTGAAACTGAACCCTTGGGGAATTGGTTTTCAACTGGGAGGAGTCTAAAAATAGAGGGAACAAGACAGACAAAAAAAGATACCACACAGTACAAAATAGTAATTATTTATATTTTCAAAAAGAAAAAAAATTACCAGCTATTTTGGAACTTCTTCCCTGTAAGAAGAGTGACTAATAGAAAGGAACAGGACTGGCTCCTAGACAGTCAGCAAATCAGGTACAAACAGTTGATCAGAATCATTTAGCAACTCAGGATAGGAACCTTTGACGCAGCATTCATGTACAATAAAACTTCTTTTTTTTTTTTTTTTTTTTTTTTTAAAAGGGGAAAAAATAAAGCAGGGAAAAATGCCAAAAACATTTCCCACAATATCTAAAAACAGGTAACCATTGTCCTTGTCAGACAGCACACTTCAGATCAAGGATTTGCCGGTCCTGGAAAGCCAATGTAGATTTGCAAAGGCTGCCTTTAGTTTATTCACATCCTCCTCAGCACACAGCCTT